CGTTGAGATGAAAGGAAAATCAGCTTTCACATTTGTGTATTTTCGAACAACTTCCTCGAGAGGGAAAAATTGATTTTCCTTGTTCCCTTCACCAATGCATATCCTCAGATTTCATCGTCTTTATCAATGTTAATTGAAGAAATTGGGTGCGAAAGATAGCAATATTGAGCTTCCATATCTTTGCGATGGTTTTTACTACTAAAGCAGCATGAATTTACCAAAAAACTCTAAACTCAGGTTACTTCTACGAGTGCAAGAAATTTCCTCTATTCGCCGAGTTCTAAATGTTCTTGATTATTTTCTGCCACTCTGTTTGAACGTGTTTTTAAAAAGCGTCGGCTAATTCTCCTCAGTCCTTGTCTGTAGTTAGAACTTTGCGCTGCGTAAAGGAGAGGATTGATAAAAGAGTTGAGAATAAGAAAAAAGCGAACCACTCGGTGTACAAGGTGAAGAGAGTCGTCATTTTGTTTAAGTGTACTCTTTGAGATAAGGGAGACGTAAATAAAGAACACTGCAAACGGCATGCAACAAACAGCAAAAGCTACAGCGAGAGAGACGAGTAACTTTAAAAGGTGTTTCTTGGATTTTTCCGCTTCCCCACTTTCAGCGGAGTTTTCACAACAGATGTTTTTCTTAAAGTGTATTCCATAGAAAACAGAGCAGTAACAAAACAGAGTCACAACTGTGGGCATCACAATAAACAGACTGCAAAATACAATTATATACGTCCTTTTAAACGGCGTGAGTCGATCGAGAGTCCATGGTCGATTACAAGGATATGCTCTAGCCTCTGGATCGTAGTCGTTTGATAAAAATCCTGGTAAACATAGTAGCAACGCTGATACCCACGTTGCGACAATTGCATGACGGACGTTTCCTTTACCAAGTCTTGCATTTGTGTTAAATGGTTTCACGAGAGAAAAGTACCTTTCCACAGCTATGACCATCAATGTGAAAATAGACTCTAGAACAGTGACAGAGAGCACTGCATTTCCTGCAAACACCTTGCAAATGAAATCTCCATTGGTTTGACTCAGTCTTACGTTATGTAAAGAGAAATCATAAAAGCCCGGACAGAACAACAGTGACAGTAAATCGGCCAGGGCTAAGTTCACCAGCAAATAGTTTGTTGTTGTATGCATGGATCGCGTTTTACACACGATGGCGATCACAACACCGTTGCCAATCACACCAAAAAACACAATGATTGAGTAAATCGTTGCGAAAACGATGTTTTCAGAGGCAACGCCGTCGACAATTCTTCCGTCGATGGTAAAATTAGTTTCACTATTTCCGGAACTCATCGCTTATCAGAGAGGAACAACCTTCCAAATGTCATTTAACATTCCGACTGGCTTTAAATCCTTTTTCTACGACTTACAAGGGCTTTCAACGAGCGAAGTGATTGCTAAAGAATGCCTTTTCTTCACACACGATTTCGAAAGTTCAGCTGTGTAAATGCTTTGTTTCCGAGATGTTACAGGTGAATCGAATTTTTTTAATATATTAGTGACCTTAAGCAAACACGACGGCGACAGCAACGAGGACGTGGAAAAACAAGAGATCTAATTGGCAGAACAATAGCTAAGCACGTGCGTTTTGAAACTTTGTACATTTCTTAGCCGTCCTATGCAAAACAACAAAGTGAAATCGTCTAAATTTACGTCGTCTGCGAACCGAAACCGTGACGGCAAATTATTATAATTTCCATTTGGAGCTCAACGCTACTTTTATGCGTCATGCTGGAGTTGAGCTGTGGCGCCATATGAGACAGTAAGCTCCTGCAGCTATGTTTGGAATTCTAACTAAGAGTAGAAATTCATTTCTTAATCGGAGTCTTCCTTGGCGTTGCCGTCCTGACTGCTTAAGGTCCCTATTAGCTTTCAATTTGGTCGATCAGTTCGGCATATTTAAAATTGGGGAGTAGCCGAGAATAGCATTGACCGACATTTCCAGGTTAAAAAATTATTCTTAAACGTAAGCAAGAGAATTAATATTTATAATCTCTTGACATGAGCCAATGGCATCATCAGGATCTAAAGGGTTAAGAAATCATTTCCTGATGGTTTTAAAGTGGACATCCCGGTTTTTCTGTATACGCAAACAGTACGTAAAAATAATTGTGCCGCTCACGGTATTATCGTTTCATACTAACCTGTAACATCATGGCCGGATGATTTATCGACCAAAGATCATGATAGCAGCTTGTTTCTGTCAATACTTAAGAATTATGAATTATTTATATAGTTTCTAGTTTCTTCGCACGTAATAAATACGAAACAAAACGGGTCGGTTTCTAGGCTATTTTAATAAACATAAAATTTATTTTAATTTCATATCCATGATAAGTCTCTGAAATTCTCTGTTAATTCTCACAACATGTACTTAAAATTAATAAATTTGAAAAAAAACAGCCTGAGAGGAATAGACATTTTCCATTGGGAGTCGAGTTTCCCACACGCAATGGAAAATACAATGGAGTTAAGTGAAAAACCGTTCCAAAATAAACAAACAGCATGAAATGTCTAGAAACTTTCATTTTGACGAAAATTTGACTGTGCTGTTTTTCATTTAGAATCGCTCGTATCGTAAAATTATTCATAACCTTAATTATGAATTTTTAATTCTACAGCACCTGCCACTATGTCATTCCACCCGCAAAAGTGCTAATTTGCGAATGTTTCTGTCATGACCGTGCAAACCCTTATGAAGAAAAAAAAACCATAGATTTCATTTTCTCGGATTTTGTGGTCACGGTAATAAACCCAAACAAAATTTTTCCCATGTTCTGGAAATTTCAGGCATTGCTACAAGAAAAATTTCACCTGTCTTTTACTTCGGGGAATTATTGCTTTTCACTGCCCATTATCAAGTAAACCTCGAACTTGGGATTTTGGTTTGTTCTACAGTACAGTCCATTCTACTCCTTTTTTAAAAGGTGTTTCCTTGCGCCCCACGTTGCTTGGTTGTTCTGTTGGAGAAAAGACCGGCAAAGGGTAAAACGACGACTGGACCGGACTATTTTTTGGACCATTTTTGGACCATTTTTTGGACCCTTTTTTGGACCCTATTTTGGACCATTTTATAAGGGGGAAAACACACCGTTAGTACTCAGGGAGGGTTGGGTGCAGTCAATAAGTACTCAGGGAGGGTGGGAGGTGTTTGTAATTGTAAACACTACTGGTTAATGGAGCTTTTATTTGATCGTGCAAATTATTTTAATCGGTTTTTCGACTGACTTTTTGTATATCAAAATTTTTGCGCTGGGCCGCGGCGTCTCTTTAATGTTTTTGTCAGCGAAAGCAAAACTGCCACGTAGACACTGGACTTTAATTTTTATTGAAAATATCGCGTTTACGATCCTCCACTGTTGAGGTGCCAGTCTGGCATAGGTTGTGCGTGTGCCTTTTGAGGCGACTTGTGCACCATCAGTTTTCCTTTGTGTATACAGTATGTAATTACCAGATTTACCTATCTTCCTTTGCCACTGATGTTATCAGACGAGATCACGGAATTTCCGGTCCTTAGCCCTTGACTTAGCCGCATACAGAATTCATAAGCGCTATCGCAATTTTAACGTTTATACGTTTACTATGAAAAATCATTGTTGGTACAGTCGTACAAAACAACCGTCTCTCGGGTGTCTCGAAAACACAGACCTCGAAAACGGAGACCGCAGACCGCAGACCTCGAAAACGCAAACCTCGAAGAATTGTTTTTAACTTTTCGAAGAGAACATTGGTTCACGCGCAGACGTCCAACGTTGAGCGCGGGACAAACCATATTTGGCTACCGAAGTAGACATTCGCTGTATACCACATTCCTTGAATGCAAAAATTCAAGTCCCTCGGCGATATCAATCACTGCCTTGAGAAAAAGCGGTAAAAAAATGTTGAAAGGCTTCGCCTGCTTGTATTTTATCGAGGCAAAGCAAAAACTCGAGGATATCTAAACCTGAACATTAAGACCGAATGGCAGGAAATCAAAACACTCGTATTCCATCATTATAGCAACCGGTTTAAGACCGATTAAAATAATTTGTACGATCGAGTTAAAGCCCCATTAACCAGTAGTGACAATTACAACCACCTCCCGCCCCTCCCTGAGTGATAACAGTCTGCCTTCCACCCCTCCCTCAATACTTATAGACTACACCCACCCCTCCCTGAGTACTAATGGTGTGCTTCCCCCCTTATAAAATGGTCCAAAAAAATGGTCCAAACTCAATGGTCCAAACTCCAATGGTTCAAAAAATAGTCCAGTCCAGTCCCTATTTTACCCTATGCCTGGAGGAACAGCTGTCGTCACAAGCTGAAGTATCCTTTCCTACAGTATTTTTTTTAGATAAGGTTCGAGCACGTTTTCTTGTAATTTGTTCGAATTATTTCCACTCACAATCTGAGGACTGTATAACGTTCTTTGTTTCCTTCTGTTCTCTCACAATCTTAACACACGTACGCTTACAATCGTTGTTCGCTCTTTTTCTTGTTCACACTGTCGCTCTAACATTTCACAATAACTACGATCGTATTACAAGATTTCGATAATTACACTGTTGCCAGCTTGTTACTTAATCGCTTCGTTGTGGTTACATAATTTTTAAATCATGCACGTGTCTAAGAAGTTGTCACCAGATCCTTACGCGTGTCGCGCGTCGCGCGTGGAACTATAGTTTTCCGACATAATTATAGTGCGCTTGCATGCAGAAACGTGTATTGCGTATTCCAACCACATCCGTATCGAATAGCATTTGTGGTCTTTTGTTTCCTGTCACAAATCACCAGTGGTCATTAAAGATTGTAATCGGATTCTATTCTGTCATTTTGATGTCGACTCTGAAGGTAAAGCAGTCAACGCTAAGAAAATAAATGTCGCGCACAAGTCTTAGATCACGAAGAAACAATGATGAATGTTTGACAGTTTAGGTTTGCAGTCAGATGTACGTATCTAGGGCGTTTACGTGTGATAGCAATAAAACTAGGGAACTCTGTAAGATAAAGGGGGAATGATTAGAAAGGTGGTGATGAGCGAAAGTATGACTGCAATAAAGTGAAGAAAACGACAGATACAGTCCTAAGTGTTTGTTGAACCAGCGAGTGCGGAGATATTCCTAACGCAGTGGATAATTCCGCAAAAATAGCTTTTTCCGTCGCTTTTGCAAATATATGTGGCTGGAAGGGTTTCATTCTGTTTGAAAAAGATGATCTGTTCATTTGCGATCCCAAGGGGAGAAGAGTTACAAAATGTTTTGGTCTCGCCACGTCACAGTTATCATCTCGCTGGAACATCAACTCATGTTCTCTTGTTAACAGCAGCTCGTTAAGCTGTGTTGTATGACACTATCTTGTTGTCTGCATGAATATTGTGATAACCAAGGTTAACGGAGATCTTTTACCATAGTTTTTATGCGAAGAAGTTGCTCCGTCAGTGATCCGAGTGATTCCAGTAGAGAAAAAAACGAATCATTCTCTTTCTGGATAAATCAAACACCTTGCAAATGAAATCCCCAGTGGTTTGACTCAGTCTTACGTTATGTAAAGAGAAATCATAAAAGCCCGGACAGAACAACAGTGACAGTAAATCGGCCAGGGCTAAGTTCACCAGCAAATAGTTTGTTGTTGTATGCATGGATCGCGTTTTACACACGATGGCGATCACAACACCGTTGCCAATCACACCAAAAAACACAATGATTGAGTAAATCGTTGCGAAAACGATGTTTTCAGAGGCAACGCCGTCGACAATTCTTGCGTCGATGGTAAAATTAGTTTCACTATTTCCGGAACTCATCGCTTATCAGAGAGGAAAAACCCTCCAAATGTCATTTAACATTCCCACTGGCTTTAAATGCTTTTTCTACGATTCACAATGGCTTTCAACAAGCGAAGTGATTGTTAAAGAATGCCTTTTCTTCACACACGATTTCGAAAGTTCAGCTGTGTAAATGCTTTGTTTCCGAGATGTTACAGGTGAATCGAATTTTTTAATATATTAGGGACCTAAAGCAAACACGACGGCGACAGCAACGAGGACGTGGAAAAACAAGAGATCTGATTGGCAGAACAATAGCTCAGCACGTGCGTTTTGAAACTTTGTACATTTTTTAGCCGTCCTATGCAAAACAACAACCTGAAATCGCCAAAATTTACGTCGTCTGAGAACCGAAACCGTGGCGGCAAATTATTATAATTTCCATTTAGAGCTCAACGCTACTTTTATACGTCATGCTGAAGTTGAGCCGTGGCGCCATATGAGACAGTAAGCTCCTGCAGCTATGTTTGAAATTCTAACTAAGAGTAGAAATTCATTTTTTAATCGGAGTCTTCCTTGGCGTTGCCGTCCTGACTGCTTAAGGTCCCTATTAGCTTTCAATTTGGTCGATCAGTTCGGCATATTTAAAATTGAGGAGTAGCCAAGAATAGCATTGACCGACATTTCCAGGTTAAAAAATTATTCTTAAACGTAA